ACGCACCTGTTTCAGGAAGTTCAAGTCAACTGGAGTAGAAAGAAGCTTCAGACGACAGGATTTGGAGTCTTACTTCCTGAAATTTGGACATCTCGCCTCTGATTGGACAGCAACATAACTATACCACTGACTCAGTTTGCTTTCCAACGTTAATGCTTTATCTCTACAAATAACACAAGTCCTGCTATCTGCTGTGTGGTGAAGTTGCTAATGCTAATGGTTAGCTTCTACAAGCCATTTGTTTGCTGGAAGTCAAACCAACAACAGCCCTCCTTGTTGTGAGTCAAGATGGGTGAGCCCATGAATGTTAAGTGACAGTGTGACATAGATCTGTCAGGATTTTCAAATCCTAGTGTTCCACCGTCTTTTTTCTATCACAAGCTAATGCAGGAGATAGGTGTAGGAGACTATTTTCATGTTGAGCCTGCATGAAAAACTCAGAAAAAATTGTTTTGCAGGTAACCATACCTTTAACTTAAAACAGTGCAGCTTAAAACATGTTTTTGGTACTTTTTGTTTTTGATTCTGGTCATTTTAATTTAGTCTATTTCAAACTCAACAATTTCCCCCAGTGTGAATTATTATTGTATTTATTTGATTTTCATGACGGTTTGCTTAAAGGGGCATTATGGAAGTTTGACAGCCAAAACACGTATAGAAATAATAAATTTCTTCTTCATACATTCTCCTGCAATGCCCTGGTCCTGTAGAATGAGCCCTGGCATTTTTACTGTGATTGCCTGTTTTTCTGTAAAATCACAGAAAAAGAGAGTTGCTCGGGTCGAGCAGGCTGCTTCATGCACGTTCACGCTCAGGCATAGCCCGTAGCATTTGCTATCAGTAGCTTTAGCAGCAGAGAGTGAGGTAGTGCCAACTCAGCGACTTTGTCGCTGTTCCTGACGCCTAGTGATGAACCTAGCTACATTTCTGAGGACCCTTAGCTACTTTCTTCTAGATATTTCCTGCGAATTAGCAACAAACTAGCCATTTTTGCTCCGAACCGTACTTTGAACGTTGTTTCAGCTGTCATCAATAATATAAATGTTACAGTTACAGAAGACATCACTGGTGCTTTAGCTCACATAGAAAGACACCGGACTCTCGTGCAGAAGACCTGCGTTCGATTCTGGATGTGAACATAGTTTATTTAGAGTTTATTTTTTACATTAATGGTATTTGTTTTATGGTAAGATGCCCAAATTTTTATTTGAGAGTCGCTGAACGGCATTGAATTCACAGATAAAAAATGATGTGGGTTCAACTTTCATTTTGGAACAATTTTTCAAGCAAGGGAAGGGAATGATCTGAGCATGCAGGAAGACTGACCCATCATAAACCTTTGTCGGCTGTGCTGAAGAGAAAGGTACAGAACCAAATTATTTAATTAATTAGCTGCGCATTCTCCTGTCCTCTGTCCTCCGGGCCACACACACACACACACACACACACACACACACACACACACACACACACACACACACACACACACACACACACACACACACACACACACACACACACACACGGGACTGTCTCAGCTGTTATTTTCGTTAAGGAGTGTGCACGTACAGCATGCGCTCCTCGTGCACGAGCCTACTATTGAAGTTGCCGTTACGCGTTTGGCCTGAAGGGGCAATCACGAGCATAAAAATTCAAAACTCCGTAAAGTTCCTTTAAGAAAAGGGCAACAAGAATTCAGATCATTCAGGATGAAAGCAGACCAACTGTTAAATGGGATCTTCTGATTGATTAACCTTAAAATCTTCAATTAAGTAATTAGCACCTAAATGTATTCATCTGAACTGAACTGTGGCAACAGAAAAAGTTTGTTTGTTTGATTAACACTTAAAATTAGGTGAAATTTGCACATTTAAAAGTTTACAAGCAAGTTAACTTTCTTTTTTTAATTCAAAGGATTCAAACATTAAGTGCTGACGATGTGCACCACCAACACATTCTCACACCCGAAGCGTAGAAAACGACGCTTCAGGTGACCAAGCGTGCGTTTCCGACGCGTTGGGAATCCCAACGCTACTTAACCTTCCTCTCACCCCATCCTAACCTTGACCATCTGACGCGTTCTAAACTTTGTTCCTAGTTGAAACGTCCTTCTCCAACATGGTAACGCTTGGTCATCTTGCATCAGTTCTTTGGGTGTAAGAATGCGTTGGCCCCACCAGTCAAACATTTAGACATAGTGTCTATTTCAAAGCTCCAAACAGGTTTAAAAGATGTGTTCTATAGTTGGCTAATCAGAAAAAAATAATTGCTAGCTTTGGTAAAAAATCAATATGTCCCTGAAAAATATCATTTTTACCCAAAAATAAAAAGTTAAAAAATAAATCCAGAGTTGCACCATCAATTATTCCTGTCCTGTAATTTTTTGTACAAGCTAATCAAGAATGAAATACAACTGATACTGAAAAAATTTTAAAATGTTCCCATCACCCATGCAACCACTGTGTGACTGCACACACAGTGCTAACAATATAAGCACAAAGTTCAAGAACAAACACTCAACCATCCAGCCAGCCTCTAACAAAAGCTCAGACAATAAGGTTCAAGGCTTAAGCACGTAAAGGGGCGCTAGTGCTACCGTCAGCTCCACCTGCAGACGTAGCACTACCACCAACCTGCTTCAAGGTCAAGGTTTCATCATAAATTACCAGATCTTTATTCAGCAATGACTGCATTGCTCCGTCCCAACTAACATCCCCGTTACTCTGAGGACATAGCATGCAGGATGAGAAAGATACCTGTTAATGACCCACAAAGCAAGGTTAATGATGAAGGTGAGGAGAGAAAGGAGGGATAAAGATTAGGAGAAACAGGAAGCAAAATGCAAAATATTATTACATGTTTCTTTTTGACCTTCCAGTTATTAATCACTGGAGTTAGTTACATTTTTAGGTTTCCCTCCATGGCAATCTTTACCATAATACAAGCATCTGACTGTGAAACTTTGTTTAGTTTTAATTTTAATTGCTTGATGGACCACAAAAGATTGATTTCTTCCTTTTCTACCACATGGAAGCTTTTAACATCCCTCTATGGGGATCACCTCCTTAGCTTGCGGTTTTACACTGAAAGGTTTATATAGAAAACAACTGAGAAACAAATCAAGTTAAGTGCTACAAGTTCCACCTGACTTGAATCTAAATCCACATCTGCAGCTTGCAGAACACTGGTGGGTCCAACCTCGTAGCTCTCTTCCATTCTTCTCCTCACTTAGGAGTGTGTATGTGCGTGCGTGCATGCATGCATGCGTGTGGGTTTGTGTGAATCAGCTTTTAGAGTGACACTCATATAACTTCATAAAGGTGTGGGTGTGTTCAGGCCAAATGCTAGGGTAGTACTTTAGTGTGTGTTAGTGTGTAGGTGGTATAGTGGATGATTGTGTGTTACAGGAAGTCAGATGGATGTTAGGGGGTGGTTCGATGTAAGTATGTGTGTGCATTATGTTATTTGCATATCATTACAGCTCACCTTCCACCTTTTAAACTAATAATCAGCATTTGCATTTTTTTTAACAATTATGTGTGTAAATTTATCACATTTAAGTACCAAGAGTGCTGAAAAAGGTCAGTTTAATTCATTCAAATGTCAGTTCTGTAAACTCGCAAAAATAAGTATTTTTACACTAAGTTCACTGAAAAAGCATATTTTGCTTTTTATTTTTTTACATATGATTGGGCGCTCTGAGTTTAACATGCAGGTTGAACAGGAAAGTATCCGTCTAGCACTACTTCTAGCAATAGCCACTGATAATAAACAGACAAGGAAATGCTCAGATTAGACAAGCCAGTCAGATCTACGTCAGAATTTAAATTAGCATTCATTAGCACTCATCTTCCCTGGCTGTTGTTGGTTTAGCGTCCAGGAAACAGCAGGGAACGTCTCGGCTGGCTAACTGTTTGCATTAGTAACTCCACCACACAGCAGAATTCCTCCAGGATTGTGTTGTTTATAGAGATTGGGTTAAACATTAATGTTGCAGAGCAAAGAAAGTCATTGGTAGAGTGGCGTTGCTGTTATAGCATTTGAGGAGAGTCTGAATTAGCATTAGTTTTGCACATACCAACCTCTGTACATTTTATATCTCTTATCTTATTGTTTACTTTATTCATTTGTAAAACACGTATATACACACTATACACACACTCACACACTCACACGCACACACGTAGAACAATATCTTAAAAAAATAATAATATACTTGCATAAACATTTAGTAATGTATATACATTACAACTTATACATATTATTACTTAGATTAGACATTTTTAAATTTTACTTGTTTTTACATTACTGTATTTTTGCATAACTCTGTTGCTGTGAAGCTCGCACACAAGAATTTCACTCGCATGTACTGTACCAGTGTACCTGCACATGTGACGTGACAATAAAAGTGATTTGATTTGATTTGATTTGAATACCAGGAAAGAAGACTCCTGCGATCTTCAATTTAGCTAACATCTAATTCTTGAGACAAGAGTGTCAGAGCTTCTGTTCTACCAAGATCGAATCACAAGGCATTCATTTATACTAGACGTCACTGGAGATGTGTTGAAAAAACACGAGAACTTGGTCCTTAAGATTTTTGCAAGGCTTTCTTGTGAATGTTTAAAAAGTTGATTCACTCCGGTTACGTTTTGTTTTACCACACACACTTTGCATGATCAGTTCTGTCCATTCTTCTGCTCCATTTGCAAAACTCAATTCCATGACAGCTTCTAAACAGTTTTTAAATTAGCTAATTATTCTCGATCATTATTGTTTTTCAAGAAAAAAAGTATTAGGAAGGCAGCCTTTGTTCTCTGGTCCTTACAGCTTCACTTTACAGTAAGTCAGGCATGTAAAAGAAAACTAAAGAATGCAACTGTTTCCTGTTACCTTTCCTGCATGTTTTATCAAAGATTTCAACTATTCTTTGCATGATCCCTGACTTTTTTCCTATATTTCCAATGCCTCACTTTCCCCATGTTTGTTTTCTCTGGCAGGCGCAAGTATAAGAAGACGTCCCAGAGGTAAGACTTGCTGCTGGGACTCTGGACCTCCCCTCTCATCCTTTTCTCCCTCATACTTCTTTTCCCTTTTTATTTTCATGCATCATTATCTGTTATTTTGCAGGAGTCTCAACATTATTTTCATTTCTGGTACTTCTTGTACATTTGTTTATTTTTTGTCATTTGTTTCTTTTCCTACAAAGCCCTTTCCAGTTTTGCTTATGAAGATCCAGATTAATAAATGCGTTTACTATTACTAAGAATATGCTTATTTATCTTCTTCTGTTCTTAAAAGCTGTTCAGATGCAGGACGCTCGTCGTATGTTGTGGGTCAGCTGGTTGTCATTACCAGATGATGATGTTGTTTAATGTAAACAACAAAATACACTTAAAATCCTGACAAGCAGCTTGAATGAAGACATCATCTTCCTCATTAGGAAGTGTGTATTTGTTTTGTTCTTTTGGTGATACTCAGGGGAAATCAAGCCATTATGCAGTACCTGAATTAATTTATTTACCAGAGTGAAAGCAGGGAATGATTAATACCAGCGCAAAAGGAGATAACGTACCTATAGAAAGTTTTCTTGGAATATTTCACTATTGAAGTGTGACAGCATAAGATGATATTGCGTAAAATAAAAGGTTTTGACTTGTTTCATTTGCTAAGATTGCAAAGGCTTACAGATTTAACTTTCAGTTTTTTTAAATAAAAAGACTATAAAGAGACTTTATAAAATAGTTTTAGACTAAACAAAAAACAACAAGAGGAACCAGAGCCTAGGTTAATTTTTTGTGCCACTTTGAAAATAATTAGAAGTATAAATGTGTAACTATTCATCAAAAAGCCTTAGTGAATCCAAAACGTAAGCTTCAAATTGGGGTGGGGATTTTATGTGTTAATTACAATTAATTAATTAGAAAAACGAACACATTACAATCGTACCCCTTTGAGCCCGAGCACCCCGAACACATCTAAAACCACAATTAAGTGAATCAAACCGTTTCTTCATGAAGAAATCAAAGGAAGAATAAAAATCTACGTTTTTTACTATGCTTTCTAGTTGGTAGAAAGCAGGCAGGCAGTAACTTTATCCACATGAGCTTTATTACAGCAGGAGGGACGAGCATATGTGCAGCATTTATCCTGTAACTCTCAGCAGAACTTCCCTTGAACTCTACACTACACCTCTATATATGTTAGCAGTGTTCTGCTGCCACCTAATGTTCAGCTCAGTACACATTTACAATGTTGAAAGAAAGAAAGAAAAAAAAATTTCTCATATATTCCCTTTCAAAATAAAAATCATGAGGCACTTTGCAAAAACAAAACATTTAAATATAAAACTGATTTTAAACAGTTATTTAAAAAATGTTTAAAATGACAAAAATATATAAAATTGTGATTAAAAATATGAGGAAACAAAAAGATAAAATGAGTAGGAAAGAGGGAAATGTGTGGATCCAGGGAAAGGCGGCTAGAAAGAGTAGAATAATGGGCTCGACACACGGGAGGCGATAAACGACCGCGATCAGCGAAATTTGTCACTGTTGCTTTTATTACCGGACACACGGGAGGCGATCCGCGGCCAGCGGCAAAGCCGTCTACGCGTTCTGTTCCATGGCGAAATCGAAACTTCCGTTGTTTTGCTTGGCTGTGTCAGGTTGGAGGGAATTAAGGTTATTTAAGCGGTTCCGAGTTAATAAAGTGGTAGATATGATGTTTCACAGGGTGCTGCTAGAGTTATGTGAAATCTTACTTCTGATTTTACTATATAAAACATAATAATACTCAACTTCTCCTTCATGTTTGCTCGGAGGTGTACGGAGCATCCTGTCCGCTCATTGGTCAGTGAATGAAACCTCCGTTGATTGGTCCTCGTCCGAGCGACAGCGATGAAAAGTTGAAAATGTTTCAACTTTCTGGGATTGTGTCGCTGTGTCGGCTGTGCACGACACGTGCACGAGCGCACAATTTCACACGCACGTTTTTCGCATTTTGCTTGGTAAGAGGGAGACCCGCGATTATCGCTTTGTCGCGCATGTCTCATTGAAAATGAATGGAGGAGAGGCGATGTTGCCTCCCGTGTGTCGAGCCCATTAGGAATAACGGTGGTGACGAAGGTCACGCAAAAGCCAGCCTGAACAAGTGAGTTTTCAGCTGCTTTTTTATGCTCTATGTTCCATGTCCATTTACACTTAATCAATAACACACATATGGATATTTACACATCTCAGCAAATCCCATAATGGTTACCTTTATACTGAGACCAAAGTTATCAAGTAGACATTGTGGTTAAAGAAATGTACTTATGAAAGTGCAGGTAAGTCAGCTGTTCCTCACTAACATTATTTTTTATTAAAAAAATTTGCTTTAGCACAAATTGTCTTGAACGATAACAATATTTTTCATTTACTTTGCTTTCTACACTTTGAAGTTAAGCAAGAAAGTGAAACTGTGTTTTATTCGCTTGTTTGATGTCAAGTTAACCTTTTGACTTCGATATTCAGTATACAGGAGAAAAAAAAGTGTAAATATTCTCGCCTGGGTCACTGGTGAACAGAAAAAATTGCATATTTGATACTTTTCTCCTAAATGAAACCCTAAAATAACAGAAAGCATGATGATATTTTGCAGATGTTACAGGATCAAAAACTGCAGTTTGAATGGAAATCAATGGGAAGTTTTGGTCGTCCAAGGTCTCAAGAGGGTAGTCTTTTTTTCATGGCGATTAATGAATTAATCAAAGTTCCTTGTTGTTTAGCACAAGATTATTCAATAAAAATGTTGAGCAAATTTTAAAACTACATCCTCAAAATTATTATTTTGTTCAGATCTCATCTTTAGTAGTTCTGAAACATTGCTGCTGATGTTGCTGTGCTTTTGGTCTTAAGAAGTGACAGGCCAAGAATGGATTTGAAAGAAAAACAGAATAATGTGCAAATCTGTAAAATATTAATCAGCAAATGTAATTTGAACAGAATTGATGGGTTGTTTTTTAATAGAAAAATTAGCTACAAAGCCTTGAAGCCATTTCTTTCTGTGAAACATGTTTATTTGTGCTAATTCTTGGTAAAAAGTGACTTAGCAAAATGTAATAACATTCCAAAAAGGCACAAAAACCGACCATAGAAAACATATAAAGGAAATGGTTTCAGTTTAACGATTTGTTAATGCAACCGTTTGTTTTAACAGTGGTCTGTAGAAAAAAAAAACATTGATACAAATATAAAAATGACACACTGAAGGAGAAGCTTAGCAATTAAGTGGGTCTCTAATTTGATTTCATGACATTTTCATGCAAACTGGGATTGCTGCACAGTGAGCGTAACTGAACTGAACACTCCTTTTGCTCCTCACGGACTCAGTGTGTGTTCGTTTGGAGCTTTATAGCGAAAGCTGCAGGAAACTCATTCGCTCTCCCTTTTTTACTGTTTCTCTCTGTCTCTCACTCTCTCTCCTCTGGGTGGTTGAGTTCCTGTGTGGAGGAGCGGGGTGATTGGCAGCTCCATATGTGTCTGTGTAATTACGGCTGGGCTAATTGGCAGAGAGGAGCACTGGGACATTGTCATTACTGACACACCAGGACAACCCCTCTCACATGCAGATGGAGGTTGAGATAGCCCTCTTCGCAACAGGAGGCAATGAGAGAGGAGTGTTTGCGCCAGGTTGTCCCTGTGTTTGTATAAAGAAGGGTTAAGAACGATGGAATTCTGAAACAATCTGCTCAGGTTTTACATGTAAAATAATCAGCTCTGTCATTTACTTTTCCTTTTCTTTGTGGATCTTGTGCTCTCTATTGCGTTTTAGTCCTTTTTTGACAAGTTTTAAAAGCCCCGCCTCCCTTAGTTACTGTTGCTACAGTGTCAGGCTGTTTTTTGAGAGGAAATAGATGCAGCTGACAGTAATAACAATGACAAATTGCCATTTAGGAAATCTATTAATTAAGTGAATATGAGTCAGACTGATAGAAGTCTGTTTATGAAGCAAATATCACAAACTATACTTCTTAACACCACTTTATGTCAGAGGCACCCTAATATGGACATGAGGAAGCAAAATCTATTGCTTGCTGACCACACCCCCACCTTACCCTGTTCAAAGAGCAGTGGTGAAAGAGGTACTTTTTTAAATTTAAGTAAAAGTATTGATAAAGAGGTTAAAAACACTGCAGCTCTTTTAGTTAACACTGCTTCACTTTTGAGTCACCCAACTGCTTTTTTCTCGTTAATAGTTTGCTGGTTGAATAGGGGGAAATTCACTGCTTGGCCATTTGGCTCCCAGCTCCATGTCTGCTCCCAGAGCTAGGACTCAACAACGGCGGACTTGTGGATCTTTGACTGTGGTGGACCAGCAAAGCCCGATATCCTCGGTCAGCTTACCTAGTTATGATTTTGTTACTAAGTAGGTTGGAGGTACCTTTACTTTGGAGTTCCTCTACTGCTTTTTTCTTGCTAAAAACACCCGGAAAAACTCTGTTAGCTTCGGTTTAGCATGTTGATCTCCGACCGTTGAGCATGAGCTGATGTAAAAGGCCACGCCGCCCGGATCCGATCGCAGCGGTCTGAGGCTCTGCTTGTAATTTAACAGTCCCGGTCCATATTAGATCTCCACAGGCTGTAATTGAGTAGATTTTTTGTGTATTTATACTTTTTAAGTAGTTTTTAAAATCTGTACTTTTACTTTTACTTAAGTTTTTAAAAAAGAATTGTAATTCGCTACATTTTAAATCATTTCCGTAACTGAGTAAAAGTACATTATAGGCTTAATAAATAAAAAATATTACGTGTCACAGCATCGGAACAGAAAAAGACACCTGCATGAGCACGGCGTCTAAACCGTGGGGGCGTGGGCGTGCACTTGATAACGAGGACAAGCAGCCATTTTTACCGCAGTTTTGCTCAAAAACATCAGTTCAGTCCCTGTGATCCACTCACTGTTTACCTCCTGTCCCGTGGGTTGGAACCTTTGCTCACCGTTCTAACGTCATCAGAATTCTGCTCAGTTCGGTAGCCAGACTCAA